GAGGTCTTGGGCAGCACCAGTATCAATAACCTGACATGAGTGAAGAGGCTTCCAGAAGATTCCAGCCCTCAACTGTCGACTCACCCCCAGCAGAGGCTCCAGACAAAAGCAAGCCATCATGCTGTTTCCTGTCTGAATGCCTGCCCTGCAGGAGCTGCGAGTATCTCAAAATGTCTGTTTTGCACCATGAGCTTGGGGATGGTTGGTTACACAGAAAGAGACGGCATATCTCCGGCTGTTTCTCAGCCTTGGCTCCTCCCCTTACCTGTTGCTGTGATGACAGTCACATATGTGCCTCCAAAGGAAAAGCCGTCGGGCTTCCTCTCACCTGCACACGTTCCAGGCCATTCTCCCCTGCTCTGGCCTCTGGGTCAGCAGCGTGGAGGGCCAGCCTCCCACTCCCTCTTCAACTCTCCAGCACCAGCCCCTCGGTGAGACGTCATGAAGGCCCCACAGGTACAGGGCAACCTGCAGGTGACTGGCTCAGTCCTAAAGGAAGCCTCACAGGTCCTCAGCCTGCCCGAGATTCCCATTCTGGTGACTGCCCTGCGGCAACCCTGCAGCCCACCCTGTGCCTCAGCCCCAGCTCCCACCTGTCCTCCACCTCCCACCTCCCGCCACACCCGGCCGGAGCCTCTTCCCAAAGCCCAGGTCTGGCAAAGGGGTTTCTGCTCCAAACTGACGCTGCGAGTACAACTGTCTCGAAAGGATCCCCACTGCAGCTCCCACTTCCCGGAGGCACCTCGCGGAGTCAAACTCATAGAGACAGAAAGTAGAAGGGAGGGTGCCAGGGGCTGGGCAGCGGGGTGAGGACAGAGTTTCACCAAGGTTTATGTTATGTACATTTTACTACAATAAATAAATATGTATTTGGAAACAACGATGTCGATGGTGTCCCCAGGTCCCCAGGGAACACCTAAGCTGACTCGGCCGTCCCTGCTCTCAGCAGCTCCCCCCTTGTTGTCTGAGCTGCCGCCAGGCACAGGGAGCCTTCGTGCTGTGCAGCCTGCACGGCCACACCAGCGTCCCCGCATCCCACCGCCAGCCCCATGCTGACCTGCGTGCCTCTCCTACCCTCGGCCCCCTGCCTGCTGCGGCCGACTCCCCCATTCTCCCTGACACCCCCCAGGCAGTGTCGGGTCCCCGCTTTTGGTCTCGTGTCTCCATCCATGCACTGTTCCGAACCCGCAAACCCCCAAACACAGCACCCACCCTCCACCATCTGAACTGGATGGAGCCACTGGCCTCGGGCCCAGGGAGAGGGTCACAGGTGAAAGGTGAAAGTGTCCCTGCTGGAAAGACCACACGGCTGCCTGGCTTTCTAAATCAAGTCCATTTTATTTGAAATTTTCCACATGCCACAAATTTACATGAAAATTCCCATTCAGGATGTCACTTGCTACAGGGAACACCAAGTTCAGACGCAGGCATCACCGTGAGACGCTGCACATGGGCAATTCAACTGGACAGGGACAGGGAGGTCGGTCATCAAAAGGCAGGTGACACATTTATGGTCATTTAGCACCTGCTCTCAAGATACAGCGAGATCCCAGGCCAGGGAAAGTTCTCGCCCTAAAAACACACCGAGCTCTGCCTGCCGTCGCTGGGCAAAGTCACACACAGAGAGGCAATGGTCAGCAGGGTGGTGGCACAGGACTGGGGAGGTATGCCACCAACGGCTGCAGGTGACAGCCACGCACATGCACACACGCACACCCACACGCACATGCACACATACACACACCCCTGCACACACATCGTCACACACTCGCCCAGCTCTGTGGACATGTCACCAACACGGCGGTCCAGGCCGCAGCGCACATCCAGCTCAGTTTCTGTGCAGAGAGAGGCCGCGTTTGGCCTGGTGGCAGCAGCCTCGAAAACCTCTCACGACTGCCACAGCCAAGCAGCAGCCCTGGGTCACCTTCGCCCCCACCCTTCAATATGTCTGGAAAAAGCATCAGAAAGTAATTCGGACGACACTGGCCAGCCTGTCAGAGCCACCATTGGTTTTTTGAAGTCTCTGTGGGCTATTTGTTCATCATGCCCAGTAGATCCTAGAAACTTCTGCAACCCCACATGCAAATGAGACCAGTGACCATCACAAAGAGCCCCCGTGTCAAGGTAGAGGCCACTGAGAACGCCAGGCGGCGCCGCCTCTGTCCACGTCCACGGAAGGTGCTTCAGGTCTCACAGCAACAGCCACGCGTCGTCATGCCCTGTCCACTAAATTCTCTCATTGTTACTTCTAACGACAGCTCTACAGCTCTCAGATCCTAAAAGGAGCAAATAATGAGGGAAGGAGGAGGCAGGAGGCCACCCAGCGCTGCCTGGTAGGGGACGTGAGGGTGGCTGCCCTCACCAAGGCACAGCCCACGGCAGGTGCTGCTCTGGGACCCTCATGGGCCAACAGGGGCCCAGGCTGTGGCTGCCTCCACCCCTCCAGGCCCAGGCACACACCCAGCTTTGGTCTCCTGTGCCCGAGTGGCCTGCGGCACTGGGTCTCCATACAGGGAGCCACTAAAGAGGATGCTGCCAAGCTGGCAGGAGGGCGGGGGGCGCAGCGGCACCCCAGGCGTGTTTCCAGTGCCAGAGGAGCTCAGCCTGTCCTGGCTGCCGTCCTGGGCCAGAGCAGCGAGCGCCTCCCTGCGTGTGCACATGCAGGCCCACGGACAGCCACGCCGAGAAGCCACCTCTCAGGCCTGTGTCCTCACAGGGCCTCTGGAGGTGGCTGACAGGCAGGGACAGACTTGCTCCTCTGCTGTGTGGAAAAGGGACAATAAAATGACCTGCCAGTAGAAGTGAGAAAAGCCACGCCCCCAGCAAGAAGGGAGGACCTGAAGGCCCAGGAATGTGCCTTTTCTCCAGTTCCCTCAGGCTCGATGCCTTCCCTGGGGACACCTGCAGAAGCCTGGGGGGGCCCAGTGTTGCTTGGCAATGGGGAGCAGCCGTGGGGCCACAGGCGGCAGGACCCAGGGCCTTTGAGGATGCGGGAGGAAAGCACAGCTGGGTGTGGGGCAGACAGGAGGGACAAAAGCCCTGTCTCCTCCACCTTCCTTCCCACCCCCCGAGTCTCTCTCACACATGCTCGTGCACACACACAGACGAGCACACACATGTACACAGCACAGACAAGCACACACATTTGCACAGAGGGCACATGTGCATGATGTACATACATGCACACAGACACATGTGCACATACAGGGCACACGTGCACAGGTGTACACACGAGCACACAGACACATGTGCGCACACAGGCACGGGGCCGCGTGCTGACCAGGCGCCTCCCGGCAGGCAGCATATGGTCCACCGCTTAACAGCCTCGTTCTGCCAATTGGGGGCCATTAGGGTGGGTTCTTTTCCCAGCGTAAAATGCTGCAGAATATAAATTGCAATTAACACCAGTGCCAAAATAGCACTTAGCGAAAATAAGCACGTTATTAACATCTGGTGGGGTGTAGAAGCAGCGGAAATTCTTGCTCTAAGTCAAAGGATTGTTGCAGGGGACACTAAAAATACAAGGCTACTGTCTGAGGGTTGCTTTCCAAGGCCGTTTGCAGCCCCAGCCCCATTTACGAGCACAAACCACGCTGCCAGTGAAAACTGCTTGCTCATGAGAACAGGCCATCCGGGCGTGATCGTAAAATCACCAAGATAAATTCCAAGCGGGGGCTGCTCTGGAGGAAAGGAGACAGGCACAAAAGCCACAGCACTCAAAGTCACACAGGCCCGTGCAGGCCCAGAATGTCCCAGGCCCCCTGCCTCCCTCCTGGGCCGCCCGCCCACCCGTCAGGCTGTGACCAGCCACAGTCTTGCTTTGAGCACAAGAGCCGTCAGCCCCGGTGGCTCCACACCACCTGATCTGATCCCCCTCACTGGTGGTCTCCAGGTGCCATTTCAAAGCTCTAAAGAAATGCCCAGAAACCAGGGTAGGGGAAGGACCCTGATTTACAGGTGGGTGGGACTTGGCCCTGCCTCCCATGACCCTGAGCAGCCTGTCCTATGGCCTCCATGCCAGGAGATGGGACCCAGCTTTGTGGCTCTCAGAGGCTGTGTCAAGAGGGCAAAGGCTCTGTCTAGGGGGCTCCTGCAGTGGGGCACTCCCTGGCCTCAGCCTGCAGACGGGTCCCTCTGGCCAGGAGGCCAAAATCCCTCCACTGGCTGCAGCCCGGGGCGGGGAGAGAATGCCCCATGCTCCAGAGATGGGGAGACAACCCCCACTCACACAGGAAAGACGGGCGAAGAGGGAGGAAACCTCACCCTGGCAGATCCCCCGTGCTAAGAAGCAGAGCCGCTGGAGCAGGGCAGAGACCTGGTCGGAGCCGAGAGGCATCCGCAGGAGGATGGGTCAGAGTGTGTGGAGGGCAGCCAAGGCCAAGGAGGCGCTGCAGGCCCAGCCCACAGGGGCCAGGACAGCCCCTGCAGATACCAAAGCGCCCAGGCGATGCCCACATCCTGCCAGGGCCCAGTACCAAGAAGGGCCAGGGTCAGGGCTGGGGCTGGGGCCCAGGTGGACAGAATGCAACCGCAGCCTCCCTGCCAGAAGCCACCAGCCCAGGGGACCATGGCTCCAGGAGAGTCTCAAGTTTGAGGGAGGCAGAGGCAGCCAGCTCGACGCACAGGGTGAGGCCTTGGACACTGGAGCTCGTCCCTCTTTTTCAGAATATTTAGTATTTAACTGTTAGATAAAGTTATCTGAAACGGGGTAATCTGTTCACTACTCCAGCCTTAAACATCTCTTCTGGATTTTAATGTATCAAGTTATTCTAACTAAGCCAAATGTATATATGTAGACTTCCCTAGAAAGGCAGAAGGACCTTCGCAGGGAGCTGGAGTTTCTGAAGCCGAATGCCATGAATCGGGTGTGAAGGATGAGGTGGCCTCCCCTGAGGGACAGGCCCTACTCCAAGGGCCCAACAGACCCAGGGAGGCCCTGCCCAGCCATCCCAAGACGTAAGTGGGTTACAGTGTCTTAATGGGAGGGAGCGCCCCAAATCTGCAGCCCTCACAGGCCACACAGCCGCTCAACCACACGAGGGGCACGTGCAGCGAGCAGTGTGGCTGTCTGCACACGCCCACCCACACGCAAGGGCGCAGCCACCCGCCCTCGGAGCCCAGATGGCAGGTGACCACGAACCGCCAAGGGACACTCTCCAGGGCCGCAGCCCTTACCCCCGGGCTCGGGGGCTGTGGCAGGCCCCAGCATTGAGTCTCTGTGTGAGAACACCCTGGCCAGGCCCTCCACATCGACAGCCCACTGATCCCCCTCTGGCCACCCGGAGCATGTCCCCTCATCCCAAACTTCACTGAGCAACAGTCCTCATGAGAGAAAGCCGGAGGAGACACCCAGAGCCCCAGGAGCCACTGGGAGAGACAGCTCTTTTCCTCCTGTGGCAAACCCACGGGTCCCTGGTGTCCGCAGGCTCCTGGGGGCTGCAGGCAGGCAGGGAACAGCGGTGGCATCTCACGGCGACTTAGACAACAGGCAGGGGCTCGGCACAGTGCCGGGCCTGTCCCTCTCACCACCATAGGTTAGGTGGTTCCTCAGCCACTCTGCTTTTAAATAAGGTGATCTCATCCAGGTGCACCATGGGGACATCCCGGATCACGTCGGTTAGGCCCTCGTGGAGCAGAGGGAAGATGACGACGTTCAACGCAGGACGCTCAGCCTGGAAGCTGAATCAGAGATAAGCCATTAGCAGAGCACCGCAAGCCCACGGAGCAGAGCAGAGGCCACCTGCAGGAGAAGCCCGAGAGGCGCTCGCATCTGCCCTCCCCACATGGGCTCACCTGCGTCTCCCTGAGGACCCCAGGCCAGTGTGAGAGTCGCCCTGGTGGCAGCCAGAGCCAGAGGGGGCAGGCGAGGAGGAGGAGGCCGGGAGGAGGGAGCCAGGCAGGGAGGAGGCACCCACTCTGCACCAGGCACAAGAATCAGAGCCCCAGGGAGGCCAGCTCTGCTCTGCAGACAGGAGAGCTGGCCCAGGCGGGCCATTGCATTCCCGAGCAGCTACGGCAAGGGAACTACAGAGCCGATACCTCCGGCCACTGGAGGCCCCACGGCAAGGATGGAGGGAAGGGACAGATGGTCAAACCCACACAGCTGGGCACAGGCCGCCCTCGAGGGGGTACAATCCCCAAGTCAGGTGAGGCAGCAACACGGGCTCTGCTCTGGAACTGCACGTGTTCTCCGGATGTGTGACAAGTAGCTGGCGGATGACCTTCCCCGCTCACCCCTCACCCCACGGGGACCAGCTCCCCTGCCACACTGTGCATGGGAAGCTTGTGTGCAATGTCTGTGGAGTGTCACTGTGTGCCAGGCGCTGCGCTGAGCTTGCCAGATGTGACCCCATTTCACCCTCTCCACGACCCCACAGGGCCAGCCTCCGTTCCTCAGCTGGTCAGGGGCAGAGCAGGACCCTTCCCAGTCAGAGCCAGCCACGTCCACACTACCACTCACTGGGCCAAATGCAAAGTAAAGAAAACCCACGTGCCGGCCCTGGGAGCTCAAGGCAAACGAAAGAACACAGCAGTGCCCATGGAGGGTGACAGAAAACATCTAGAAACTTCCATCCAAAGGTCTCAGAGGGCACAAGGCGGGAAGGCACCCATGATAGAGAGCCTTGCCATTTGCCAAAACTAGGGCAAGTACCCTTCGGCCCCAGTGCCGGCTTAAAGGAGGAAGGCCGTGGCCTGGCTTCTCCCCGTGGCCCATGAAGGTCTCCTACCAGATACAGCCACAGCCCACCATGGGGTCTCCCTCTGGTGGCACAGACAACCTTGACCATAGAAGGTATCAGCAAACATCTCCCACCCACTCAGCAGTAACCAGGGGCCACGATCCAGGCCCTGATGTCCCTTCCTGACCCCCATGCTGTGTAGTCGCTGCGGTGAGGCCCACAGCACCCTGACCACTGGTCCAAGGCCTGCCAGCCCCCAGATCCAGCCTCATGGGCGTCCTCCACGGAGCCAGAACTCACCGGCCACGGAGCTTGAGTCCAGGCCATGGTCTCTCCCAGTTGAACCTGCAGATGTGAAACCCTGTTGGCCCCAGCGTTCCGGGCAGGAATGACCCTAGAGACCACCGCACAACAGCGAGCCAAGCAATTCACGATGGACTTCAACCACCTGCTTTGGCAGCAATTAAGGATACAAAATAACACTAATTCCATTGTTTTGAAGCCACTTTCAATTCTAAAGCTCTCAGTGTTTGTGAGACTTAAACAATTTGTTGCTCCATCTGTAAACTTACTCGCTTCTAGACCTGTTTGCAGAGCAGACACAGACGACGTCCTCAGAGTTCTCCTGGCATCAGGTGGCCCCCTGAGCAGGAGGCCCTTAGCGCTTGCCAGGAACACACCAGCGTGTCAGGAGCCACATCCTCCAGTGCCGCAAAGCAGGAACGTGCTGCCACAGCACGCACAGGGCCAGGGGAACACGCTCCAGGACGACGTGGGGAAGGAACTCCTACGCGACCCCTGTGGTGGGATGTTAGACCCGAGTCACAGCCGCCTGTCGGCAGCAGGAGGACCACGCCTCTCCCATTTGCTGGACAGGGTTCCTGAGTGTTCTGCAGGAAGGACACTGTACAGCCCGACGCCAGGCCTTTCAGGATGAAAAACCGACAGCAGTTCTGGCACAAGTGAGCATGGTGGCCTGGAAGTGCCAGGAAGGGGAGAGATGTCCTGTAGGTGCTGGCCCAGGAAGCACGTCACGCTGGACAGCACTGGCCCAGCCTCAGAGCCAGCACGTCCTCGCCCTGGACGGTGCTGCCGTGGGCAGGGGAAGCTCCGGGCCAGGAACACGTGCTCCCTGCCTCGGGCCCCCTTTGCAGGCTCTGAAGACAAGAACCGGAACGCCCTAGAAGCAGGACAAGCCTGTCAGAGACCCGAAGGCCCTGACACAGAGATGACTGGCTGCAGCACCCCTTCCCCAAGCCCCAGCCCTGCTGTTCTGCCCAGGCACAAGCGGGTCACTGTGAAGAGGCCTGAGGTCGCACCTCTCAGGAGCTGCCTCGCAGCCCAGACCTGGACATCGCTGGCACAGCCTTTTCTGCTTCACTGAAGGAAGCAACTGCCTCTCCCCTCAACAGGGCACTATGGTTTACCGCGGGAAGCAGCAGACGGTGGCGGGACGGGCCACACCAGCTCCAGTACCCGCCACCTACTCGCAAAGTGGCCATGGCAATCACCAAAACCTCACGAAGTAGGAGAAGGCGCTGCCACCACAGAATGGCTGGGGGACCCACCCACGTTACTACGTACCCAGGGCAGGCGCAGAGAGCTGGTGCCGCTTCTACCACCAGAAGGTCACAGCAGTGGCTAGAAACAGCTGTAATTTCACAGGGGAGAAACCACAGCTCAGAGAGGGAAGTGACTTGCCAAGAGTCACAGAACCAGTGAGTGAAGGTGCTGGACTGTGAGCCCAGCACATTGGCTTTAAGGACAGGAGCCTAGTTTGTCCTCAGCAGGACACCACATGGACCAAAGAGTCTCAGACCGTTGTCACTCCCCATAGGAAACTCAGAGACCCAGGGGTGGTGACACTGTGCCCTCCCCAGCCCCAGATGCTATAAGGCCTGGCAGGAAGCGTTTCCAAATGGGAGAATCCAAGAAAACCAGGAGCCTTTGAACCTCCCCTTGGAAGGGCTTGCTACATAGCACAGCATCTGGGGGACGGCGGAGTGGGCAGTGCTGAAAGGAAGAACCTTGACAGAGGGCCACGGGCTCTGGCTCCTGGCACTGCCCAAGCTGTGGGCTGACCTGGGCCCAGACAGCACCCTCAGCCCACTCCCGCCAGTGCAAATGGGCAGGGCACCTGGGTTATCAACTCAGCCGGGATTAAGAGACAGGACATGGGGCAGACAGAGGATAGCTGCAGCCACCAGGTAGGATGTCCCTGAGGCCAGGAGGGAGGAGGGGACAAACACCCCAAGCCAAGGGATCTGGCATGTTTCTGCGGCAGGAGCAGGAGAGGGCAGGCGGGGAAGCTTCGCCTCACCTGAGAGGCCACGAGACCCTCCAGTGCCCACAAAGATTTGCTATTTCCCGAGGCACTTTCCAAGCTCTAAATCCAGAGCCAGCACTGGGGCCACCAAAGAGGTCCAACCAGAGGGAGGGATAAGCCAAAGAAAGCCCAGCAAGACCGAGCAGAGTCGAATGCCACGACCAGCCAGAGAAAGGGCCAGAGAGTTAAGTTTCACATCTGAAAGAGCAAAGTCAAAATACAGAAGATAGGCCCGGTGCCATGGCTCACACCTGTAATCCCAGCACATTGGGAGGCTGAGGCCGGAGGACTGCTTGAGCCTAGGAGTTCGAGACCAGCCTGGGCAACACAGCAAGACCCCACCTAGACGGGTGGAGGAGGAAAAAAGAAAAAAAAAAGACCCCACCTCTACAGAAAATTTAAAATTTAGCTGGGCATGGTGGCATATGCTTGTGGTCCCAGCTACTTGGGAGGCTGAGGCAAGAGGATCCCTTGAACCAGGAGTTTGAGGCTGCAGTGAGCTGTGATGACACTACTGCACTCCAGCCAGGGTGACAAGAGAGACCCTGTCTCACAGAAAAAAAAAAAGATACAGAAGATAAAAAGTAGAGAATATTCATCGCTCAAGATGCTGTGCTCAGGCTTTTACACAGGTCATCTCCCATCTACAACCACCCGGGGTCTGTCTCAAACAAGCCTCACAAATGAGGAAACAGGGTAAGCCCCTGAGGCCAGCCACTTCCAACGAGCTGGGGCCGAGATCCAAACCCAGGTGGCAGCAGGGCCAGAGCTGCAGGTCATGGCACCAAACCCACAAAGGGCACGACGACCCCCAGCTGAGGTGTGCGAGGCTAAACTAAGTGCCTGTCTGCAGACAGAAGGCCGCTGACCGTGAAAAGAGCCAGCAACAAACAGGACAGCAGAGGGGACACCAGCTCCAATGGCTGAGTCACAGATCAGGGTGAGAAACGGGTGAGCCCTCCACGCCACACACAGGGGAGGGCACAGGGCAGGAGACGACAGCCAGAGCCAGGTCCTTCCTCTCGCTCAGTAATTCTCTGAGCTCCCAAGGCAGGGACAAGGGTGAGAAAAGGAAGAGCATTAGAAAAGGTGACAACAAATTCCAGCTTTTTCCTCTTCTGGGCTTCCCCTTGGAGGAAGGCAGGCCTGGAGGAGGCGGGGCAGGCTGGCTGCCTCGAGCCACAGCGCCATCTGCTGGGGACCTGCAGGAACACACCCAGGCACAGCTGTGAGCTCAGGGCCCCAGGCCTGGGCGCAGCGGGAGGCCAGAGCAGCGGCCTGACGCTGTGGCAGTGACGCTGTGGCAAGGCCATGCAGTGCCCTGGGCCCAGGACAGCCGGCCTGGAAAGGCCGGTGCAGACCGTGCCGTAGGGCCAGGACTGCAGCGGGGACCGTGCTGCAGACGACCGGGCCAGAGCAGAGCCAGGTACAGGTGGCGAGGCCGCCAGGAAGACAGGGCGCGGACATTTGAGGAAGGGCCTCTTCTGCCCATATTTGGAGCTGTGTCTCAGCCTTGCCAACCGCCAGCACGACTGGAAGAGAAGGGCTTTCGGCAGGCATGGTCTGAATCCAGCAACCCCGTGAGCCTCTGTCATCCGCAGAATGTGGGGGCTCAGGGTGAGGGTGGTGCCACGGAGCTAGGCCTGAGAGCCCTGCACACGGCACGGCACAGG